CCCAAACCCTTCAGAACCCTTTAGAACCCTAAAACCCTGAACCCGTTAGAACCCTGAAACCTTTCAGAACCCTTTAGAACCCTAAAACCCTGAACCCGTTAGAACCCCAAAACCCTTGTTTTGGAACCCCACAACCCTGAACCCGTTAGAACCCTTCAGAACCCCAAACCCCTTAGAATTCTTTAGAACCCTTTTTTAACCCTAAACCCCTTTAGAACCCCTTAGAACCCCCCAAAAAAAGCCAAACCCCTTAGAATTCTTTAGAACCCTTTTTTAACCCTAAACCCCTTTAGAACCCCTTAGAACCCCCATAAAAAGCCGACCCCTTCGAAGTCTCAGCCCGGCGCTCGCTGGCACAGGCAGAGGTCTTCCACATCCTCAGGGCTTTTGTGCTTTTTGGGGGTCTATAGGGGTTTAGGGGTCTATAGGGGTTTAGGGGTTTAGGGGTTTAGGGGTCTAGGGTTTAGGGTTTAGGGTTTAGGGTTTAGGTCTATAGGGCCTTCTAGGGCGTTCCTGGTGTAATGGGGAGCCTCTGTAGGGTTTCGGGTTCAGGGCTCTTTTTTGGGTTTTGGGACTTCTAGTGCATTTGCAGTTTTGCCTGCCATTTTCTTTCGCTGCAGCCTCCGGATCGCACGGGTGGGCTTGGCGGGTCTTCGGGCTTAGAGGCCCTCCTCCTCCTCTGCTAATATGGAAAGACAGCAGCTCTTCCTTCCAATGAAATCGCGAAATTCCTACAAGTCATAACAATTACCTGCACCTTTTTTTATGTCCTAACCCTAACCCTCCAGGTACCTACTATATAGGGCCGTAAGGGGCTCTAGTACCCTATAGAGTGGGTACCTGGGGGGTTAGGGTAAACCTCTGCACATCGCCGTGGCACATCTGAGTCTCACCCGAGTAGAGGTCCAGGAGGTGGAGCGAGGTCCCTGCAGCGCAGAGCGGCTGTGCTGTGCATCAAAAGAAAGCGTCGGGGAAAGCCGAAAGCCTTTAGGGTTTAGGGTTTCGGGTTTTTGGGGTTTAGGGTTTAGAATCCTTCAGTTTCTCTCGGAGCAGGACTCTGAAAGGAAGCTCGATTCCTTTCTTGACCTACCCAGCACGGGATCGAGTTCAAACCCTTCAGTATGCAACTGTGCATCCCATAAAGCCCGAACCATCCCGTACGATCTAAAAGGCCCCTTATCTCTTTTCTCCCAAGTAGGGCCAGCCGGAGCGGCCGCAACCCAGCAGCAGAGCGCCGCGGCTCAGCCAAGCACCACAGGCACCGCTGGCCGTCGGGACGAGGCGCCTTGGACTCACAGGGGAATTAGGGTTTGGGGTTTAGGGTTTAGGGTTTGGGGTTTAGGGTTTAGGGTTTAGGGGCGGTACTGAATAAAGTGGGAGCCGGGATTAGGGGGACCCTTGGGGATATAGACCCTCTCAATAAGGTCTCTTTTTAAGAGAGCCAGAAGTAGGGTTCAGAAGGGTCCCCTTTAAGGGGTCTCCCTAATACTACCTAGGAAGGTTGTGCTGAATTCAGGGGTCTCCTTAGCTAGATACCTTGGACGCATTCAGTCACAACGGCAGCACCGATCTTAACAAAAAGGGCTTCAAACTGAGACCTCTGCGTTGTTGCTTTGATGCCCTTCTCAGTTGGGGCAACCCTGAAGCTGGATCCCATGAACCACTGCAGGCGATACAAGCCCCAGACATAGGATGCCAGAATCCAACGATCTGAGAAGGACACACCGGTACATACAACGCCTCGGGCAGCTCCCCTCGGCCGCAAGCAGTAAACCCACCACGAGCCAAGAAGCGAGGCAAAGTTGGGAGGCGAGTCTTCGTAGAGATTCAGCACGCTGACCTCCGACTTGCGACCGACGTCTCCTGCCCATCCTAGCCTAGCCTTCAAGGCTTCAACGCTTTGCCAAACCCGCCGAAGCTGACATTTCCGCTCGGCTATGGCCTCAGCTACCAGGTCGGCCGCCAGGACCTGCACGCCCGCCAGGGAGATCAGGGCCACCTGGGAAGACGTTGGAGGGGCATCTTGCAACATTTTCACCGGCTTGGGCCTAAAACTTCCCTCGGATCACGGATCCATACTTAAAGGATCATGGGACTTAGTAACTAAGGCTATTATTAGGGTGACTATACTTATAGCTACTTATAACCCCAATTAAAGTACTTATAACCATACTTACTAAGTCCCATGATCCTCTCCTAGTAAGGCAGCACCATGAAACTGCAAGCTCCAAATTGCCGCGCCCCCGACCTGCTCGTGCGAGAAGGGCTGCAGACAGACCTGGCGCACGTCGTAGCCGCTGTCGTGGCCTGAGCCGCTTCAAAACTCGACCAGAGCTAGACCGTGTCGAGCTCCCAAGTGGGAATGGCACAAGCTCAAAGTGGTGGAGGCCTCAGCTCTAGAGCAACAACACCTGTGAATCACGAGCTCTGCGAAGAAATGAGCCTCGCGAAGAGGACAAGTGTTCGGGACTGCATCCGATCAATTCGGCCCTTTCTGCCCGGCTCCTCCTGGCTATGGCGACTGTTCCACGTGTAGGCAAGTGGCTCGCCCGCACGGCATAGTCACAGTCACCAGCTGGTGTCACGAGATGGAGCCCTTCGGCGCAGCGAACCCAGACACCTGAGACTCAGCGAGGGCGAACAAAAAGGGCATCTTAGCGACAAAGGCGAAAAAGAAGGATCAAGCTCGACATATCTAAAGACCCCCCAAAACAGTCGGCAGGGAAGCTCAATGCAGCCCGAGGGCCATCCAAGTCCTTGCGCGTGCGCATCTCCACCACGGGGCTGTCAAACTTCCTGTGCTGCGAAGGCACTTGCCAAACACAGCCTGCTCTCGCTTCTGCCACGATCAGCAAGGCTACAGCATGTCTTTGGCCTTGATAGCCCCGTCCTTTCGACGATTCGATTGCCGCAAAGGATACAAACGCCAAGACCCCCGAACCCGAAGGGCGGCGCTCGAGCTGGCAGCCGAGCGTCAAGCGGCTTGGGCTCGAGCGGGCGACGAGCGCGCTGCTCGGATCCAAGTGCCTGGGACGGCGGCGGAGGAGCGCTCGAGCTCTCGACTCTGCGGGCTGCGTGCAGTTGGGCCACTCGGAGTTCCCGTGCTCCTCCTGTCAGATTGTTTCGGCCTCATGTTTCGGCCTCATGAGTCCGAGATGAGCCAAGCTTGAACATCTGAATTCCCTCACCGCTGCTTTCGCCGACGACGGCTCGTCACCTCTGACACGAGAACGGCCCCGAAGTGTCTAAAGGACCAGGAGGGAGTTTCCGAAAATAGGGGACCCTATTATAGTACCCTAAATAGTAGGACCCTTATTATAAGGACTCCCAAAATAGTAGGACCCTTATTATAAGGACTCCCAAAATAAGGTACCCCTTATTATAAGGACTCCCAAAATAAGGGGCCCCTTTTTTTTCGAAAACTCCCAGGAACACGAGCTCCCGGAGCTTGCGGCCGATCCTGCAGCTCCGGTGTGGAGAGCTCCAAGGAGAGGCGGCGCAAGCTGCAGCCATCCTCGCGCGCTCGTTGCGGTTCCTACTTTCAGGATCATGGGACTTAGTAAGTATGGTTAAGGGTTGTGGTTTAGGGTTTAGGGTTTAGGGTTTAGGGTTTGGGGTCTACTTGGAGGATCATGGGACTTAGTAAGTATGGTTATAAGTACTGTAACTGGGGTTATAAGTAGTTATGAGTATAGTTACCCTAATAATAACCCTAGTTGCTAAGTCCCATGATCCTTTAAGTAGGGCTCTTGCTCTTTTGTTTGGGTTCTGACGAGCTTCACCCGCTGAGACCGGACTTGACGCTCATTTTGTCCGCGACAGGTGCGACAGGCTGGAATGTTTGTAGCCGGGAAGGCAGGGCCCAGCCGACTTGCAAGTCAAAAGTTACACTTCTGGGCGGCACAGTGGCAGCACGGCGGAAAAAGGATGACGTGGGCCAAAGGCGACGACCAAGAGTGGGTCTCATCCTCCCATGTAAACTTTTGTTACTAGGGCTGGCTGGCTTCCGTCGGTGAGCAGCAAGGTGCACCATCAAGGCTCGACTTCTCGGGGACCGGGCTACGGCGCTTGATGCGGCGCAGTATGAAGAAGGAAGTCACGAAGCCTGCGATGATGCACAAGAAGAGAACTGCCTCGTACAACATGGTCAAAAGCATCACCGAGTACGCCAGGCACATCTGAAGGCCGAAAAGGAATGCGGCGAGGGCATCATAGAGGAGACCCGCCCCCTTCTCTTTTGAGGCTGCCTTTTCGACCACCGCGTCACGGGCCGTCTGCAACACGACGATCGCCACGGGAATGATGAATGCGCCGAAGCAGCCTGCGAAATATCGGGCCTCGCTGTCGAGAACCCATCCTGGGAACAAAAAGAGCACGCAGGGCTGGGTGCTGCCAACGGCCAGCTGAAAGCCGGACATCATCACCCAGCCAGGGCCCACGCAGAAAGCGTCGCTGGGACTGTCACCGACGTCAGGGGTGCCATGATCGTGGTGGTGGTGGTCCATGCTTGTCGCAATGTGCCGCGAGCAAGCTCGGATTGGTGGTTTTGAACCACACAAAATCTCGAAGCAGGACACGCACTCTCGGCTTCGATTGCAGAACTACGTAACTACAGATCCCAAACTGCCAGCCCGACACACGGAAGTCCAGAAAATCAAAAGCTCCTGTGAGCAGTCGTGCCTGTATACTTTCAAGGCTGAAAAAGAAAAAACCGCTGGCAAGTCATGAAAAAGCCCCTCCCCTCACCGATTTCCTTGACGGCTGCCAAAGCCTCCGAGCCGGACCTGAGAAACCCTTTTTTGGGGGGGGCCGTGCATGGCCCCTTTGGTTGGAAGGGAGTTCCTTCGGCCTCAATGGGTTTATACTTTGGGGGTTTACAGTCGGGCCTGGCCTCTTGGGGGCGTAGATGTGGTTTAAGGCCCGGGCGTCTAGGACGTCTTCAGTATCTCTCTCCAGGCATGAGTTGGTTTGAGGTTAGATATGGCGGCTCTTGTTCAGGAACCTCCTTCAAGTGCGGGGTTTATATGGTTTTAGTAGGTGCTCCGGAGTTAGGTGCAGACTTAAATGAAATGATTTCCTTGTTACGGCGATGAAAACTGTAATGAAATGATTTCCTTGTTAAGGCGATGAAAACTGAGTGCCTGAACGTGGTATCCCGCCTAGTACCGTCCGTTGGGGTCGATGTTGCATATGCTGCGAGGCTGTACTACAGAAAGGGTAGGCAAGGATCTATGATGACGCTACGCTCGATGTCGTATCGTATGGTGACATGGCCTTGGCCGAAGCTCCAAATGGCAATATGCACCCTGCCGAGTCCAGAACCGAAATCTGAGAAGCCGGGAAAGACAAGACTACCGCCTGTTTGGTAAGGTCCCACTGCTAGGCTCCCGGGCCCACACAGTGCGAGAGCCTGCCGTGGCCGCTGCAGTCGTGCAGCTTGGCCCTTCCTCTCATCCGAAGGGTGCGGACCGGAACCCTTGAAACTTGAGTTCCGCGAAGGCACGACTCCGAATCTCCCAAAGAGAAAGTCAGTGCACTGCTACCCGAAGAAGCCTGAACCCTTTTAACCCCCCTGAAACCCCGAAGACGAGGTTCCCTTAAACAGAAGCCAAGGGCCGTCCTGACTGGTATGGTGTCTTTTTCGTGCTCCCCAATCCTGGGGGCCTGTAACCGTAATCACCAAGGTACTGGCTACCTTAAACTACCAGAACCTACCTTTTCTGTAGGATTCCAATAAATCCCATATTAAGGGTTTATAATAAGAACAAACAAAACAGTGGGTTATGGTTGGTCAAAGTACAACAACAAACATACAGGAGAACCCTGGTCCTGAGTGTCTTCAGAAGCTGGACCTTGCAAAGGCAAGAGGATGCAGGAGGATGCAGGAGGTTTCCGGAGTTTAGGGTTTAGGGCTTAGGGCTTAGGGTTTAGGGTTTAGGGTTTAGGGTTTATGGCTTAGGGTTTGTTTCCGGAGGTCAGGGCCTTGGACCACTACGCTGATCATGGCAAGGGCTCCGGCTCGAAAGGAGCTAAGTAGCCGCTAGCTGACAGGCAGATCACACAGCAACGACCCAAAATCACGGGTGCCCTGTTGGCAGTCGTTGTATGGGCACGATACGTCAGCGATCCCAAGCTTGGTCCGCGGCTACTTTCAATGGGGGCCTCAATCAAGCTACTGGAATGTTAAACTGCTCAAGCCTACTGTAACTGCCAGAGAGTCGTAACATCGCCCGGTGTATCACCAGAGTCTCACAAAGGACGGGGACACGGGGTAAAATTTGTCTGCTGTCCAGTATAAAAAACAAGCTCGAAGGATCTAGTATGTCATTTCAGCAACAAGTCCCCCAGTTGAGTGTTCGCCGGGGATCATGTGAAGAAGTCATACACGCACCTACCAAAGCGAGGGACCCGCGGTCTCTACTTTGCCTGCTGTCCGTTTGAAGCATCAAGTTCGAGGGATTTAGGTTGTCGTTGTTAAGCAACAGATTCCGGAGAATACGTTTTCGCCAACAGGATCCGCATGAAAAAACTGAGCGCCGTAGACCTGAGACCCGGGACCACGGACAGCAAGGACTCACCCTGAACCGTAAAAGACCAACCAATGGCTGGGGCTGGGATTTCAGGTTTCAGGTTTTTAGGGTTTCGTTTAGGGGCGCCTGGGCCGTTGGCCAAGACCAAACATGTGCAATCCGACCACTTCTATGGTGTTTCACTCAAGCAAGATAGCGCAGGCAGATGCAAGCGAAGGCCGCAACTCAAGCTCGCATGAACAGCAGGCTCGTGCCACCTCTTGCTGGCGCGACAAGACGATCACATGGAGAACGGAAGCGTTGGAAGCCTTCAATGATCTCAATAGCCAACATGCCGAACACGTAAACTTCGCATGCTGCTACAAACCTTCCCGTCCGCTCATAATCAGGACATCTCAGCAGGGGCGTTCCCACGCGTACGATGTCTCGAGTCTCACCAGACGACGCAGTGCCAAAGTCCGCGAGCTTCGCGTGCTTACCCTGCTATTCAATGTTGTATCTTAGTACTTGGGAACGTTCAGAAGGGACACCTGATTTGTGGGAAATTCCCCGTTGACTTAGGGCTTCAAGGGCCCTGCATGCACCACCTGCATTCGTTTCCCAAGGATTCATGATGCAAGAGACATCCGCCTGCAAGTAAGTAGCACGGAGTTGCCACATGAGCTAGAGTCTAAACTCCTGGTTCAACAAAATTCACGCGACCACGAGCAGAGTCCTTACTTCAAGACTTGTCGTAGTCTAGCAGCACTGCTCTACATACCTGAACTAATCCACCTTAAAAGGTGAACCCGTCAAGCAGCCTGCACATCTGAAACTTTGGTTTGCTAATCCCGTCCTGAGTAAGGTGGTACTGCTCCAGCACGAAGAGGGTCCCTGCCTGGCGATCCATCGCCGCTCTCGCCATAATCAATGCGCAATTTTCAACTCACGCTGAAGAAGTTGGGAATGGGAATGGGTCCCATCGCAGTCCCTCTAGATGACACGTTCTCCGCAACCAAGCATGACAGTGGCTTAGGGTCTATCGAGGTTACAGAAGATTGGCGGTCTGCACTCTGAGTGCTGCGCCTTACCGACCTGCTGCACGACTGTCCGCCCAGCAAAGAGCCGGCGCCTCTCCTGACTTGCTCAATTCGATTAATTCTATTATGATATATTCCATGTTTCGTAATCTTCACTGCTCCCCAGCAAGCTGTCCTTCAGTAGAACGTTGGCAGATTTCACGTCGCGGTGGTAGACACAAGGTGTGTGACCGGGCAGGAACTTCAAAGCTGCAGCCACATCACGCAAAGCCGCCACACGCTCACTGCATGGAAAGAACCATGATCCAAAGAGATGGCTTTTCAGCCTGTTGTCCAAATCATACTGCATGAGCTCCAGCACAAGGTAGTAACAACTACCCTGAAGAGACCAGCCAAGAAGACCGATGATGTTAGGATGCTCGCAAGTGGACAAGATCTCAATTTCGCGCTGGCTGTTGGAATGTTTTGACACCTTAACGGCCAAAGAGACACTGTCAAATTCAGAACGAAACACCGTTCCGTAGGATCCAGAACCAATCCTGTTTCCTCACGAAACCTGGTGGCTGAGAATGCCAGCTCGGCAAAGCCTTGAGGTGTGTGGGCGGCGTTGTTGGCCTGATCGTGTGGCGACCTCTTGCTTGAGCCCCTGCCACCGTTGCTTTCTGCATTGCCGAGGCTTGGGCAAAGAAGCTCCGCAGCAAAGGAAGGAAGTCAGCACACCCGCTCGGTGGAGCTGGACGGATGGGAGGCAGGTTTGCCTTTCGGAAGTGGAACAGGACTCACCCTACAAACCACAAAACCACAAAAGCTAAACTCCAAGCACCGCCCACAGTCCCCTCACCCAAGGCGCCAAACCTTAAACCAAGACGCAAAACCACCTAAACGACAAAGACGACAAAGCATGTTCATCCCTCAGACTTTGCACAGTGGTAAGACAAGCACAAGACTGGCCTCTGAAAGCACTTCTCCAATCGATCTCTGCCCAGGTTGCAGTGGCCACGCTTCGTGGTTCTGTCATGATGCATCAGCACCAAAGGAGTTTTCTTTTGAATCGGGCTCCCCAAAGTGATTCGGGCTACCCGGTTTCAAAGGTAGCATAAAGCTTGCATTGAGCCGATCCTTTGAGCCGAAATGTTTAGGGGTCGGCAAATTTTAAATCTTCAGGATTTCTTCGTGGGCTACCCGGTTTGTAGCGATTGTGGACTGAAGAAGGCCGTGTCTGTAGCAGAAAGCTTGAGCCGATAACATGAGCCGAAGTTTCTAGGGTTCGGGACATTTAAGGATTTAGGGTCTCTTTATGGCGTAGGGCCGACGGAAGCTTGATTCGGTTATTATACTGGTAGATAGTTAAGTAGGCAAGCTTGAAAAACGAAGGCCGCAAAGTACGAATTCCGGAAACGCAAGGACCGCGGGAGTCAGGGAGTCTGAATTCTGAGATCCTCAGTGCAGCCTGAAAACCTCAAAGATAGGATGCTATCATCTTGGCTTCGTGACTCCGCGCCCACAAAGTGCCATGTTGAGACTTGCCCTTTGCCGGCTCGGACGCCCCCATCTACAGGGTTTAGGGTTTAGGATTTAGGGTTTAGGGTCTAGGGTTTAGGGGTTTAGGGGTTTAGGGGTTTAGGGGTTTAGGGGTTTAGGGGTTTGGGGTTTAGGGTCTACCGCGGCCGAAGCACATCTGGAACCACGCGCAGTCGGTGAGAGTCGAACTGATCGGAATCTGCCCACCTGCAGAAGGGGGGCCCCCGGGCTTTCAACACTAAAACCCTAAACCCTAAACCCTAAACACTGAAGAGCATGCACTTCGCCCCAGGACTTCTGGCCACCTCCACTCGTGCAATTTCGGCGTCAGGTTCGCGCACTCTTCCACCTGCAAAGACAAAGGCAGTCTTGTCGACCCAGGAAGCAGGGCAGAAGAATATGGTGCTGACATCTCCGCCATCCCTCATCGAAGGGTCGGAATCAATAATGATAGTATCCCTTTCTAGTCCAAAGAGACTTAATTATATCAGATTATACCCCCAAAAGTTCTATTCGAAGTATTCAGGCCCCAAAGTCATGGAACCGACATGGAACCCTTCTGGCAACCTCACGCCCTAGAGTTTTCAAATTAAGCCCCCTAGCCTCTGTAGGTGAGCTCCACTGCCTCCAAAACTAAGCCATGAAATATGCTGGGGCTGTTGTCCAAAACGTCAAAGTTCCAAGGTGCCTAGTCAGCTACCGAGGAAGTTTGGGCTGTATATAAATCGCTTTGTTGTTTGTCGCGTGACGGGCAACCCGTTCTGCATGCGCTTGCATCTCCCACCTGAACAGGGTTTAAACAGGCTCGGGAGGAGCAGTGCCTCCAAAGACAACGGCGGTTCCGCTTCGTCATCCCTCTGCCGCTTCCGAGCCATGGCTCATCGTTCGCAGGAAGGGTACTACCCTTCCATACCCTGGCTACAGATAATGGCAAGCCTTCGATGCTCTCAAAAACCCTCATCTGTACTCCCAGGATTGGGTAAACCAAGGTCGTCGTGGCGTTTTAGGGTTTAGGGTTTAGGGTTTATAGGGTTTAGGGTTTATAGGGTTTAGGGTTTAGGGTTTATAGGGTTTAGGGTTTAGGGAAGCTCCAAGTAACAGAACTCGGCAACTTCTTGTCTTTTCCTCGGCTTCCCTGAGCCAGCCGCAATTCGACGAGTGCACAGCGATCAGATGCCGGGACTGCAGGCGTTTTTTTGCGGCAAAGGCCCAATAAGATGCTTGGACAGGAGCTCATGGAGCATTGCTTCTCCTATGACAATCAGCCTTGCTATCATTTTGGTTGTTATCATCGGTTGTAGTAGTTGCAGAAACAGCAGGAGCTGTAGCGGCAACAGCAGCAGGATAAGCAGCAGCAGCAGCATCAGCAGCCGTAGCCGTAGCAGAAGCAGTAGCAGTGGCAGTAGCAGTCGAGGTCGTAGCCCTAGCCGCAGTCGTAGTCGTAGTCGTGATAGTACTAGTTGTACGAATACGAGTGCAGGTGCTAGCTGTACGACTACGAGTACGAGTACTAGTAGACTAGGGCTAGCTCTACAGTAGTTGTAGCATCAGTTAAGTTACCAGCACTAGTAATGCAAGTCGTGGTACTAGTCATAATGCTGCTACGTAGTACTAATACGAGCAACACCAAACTACTGCGACTACAAAATCATGGCGCCAAACCCTCGACCCATTCCCCGAGGCACTGACAGCTCACCGCAGTCGGCAAAGAGTCTGCACAAGCGCCTGGAGATCAGAAGGCAGCTAGAAGTTTAGGGGCGACTAGGATGGCTTAGGGCAGGGTCCCAAGCGCCACAGAAACGCAGAACGGCTGCTGCCCTGTCATGTAAAGGCGCTTGACAGCTTGAGAAACCCAGGAGCCAGTGCGTCCCAACCCGCGCTTACGCGACAGCTCTGAGAGGGAGGCGTGCGCTGGAGCGGGCTGCGCAGTGAAGGCCTTTCGGATCTTCCACGAAAGTTCAGGGTTTAGGGTTTAGGGTTCAGGGTTTAGGGTTCAGGGTTTAGGGTTTAGGGTTTAGGGTTTAGGGTTTAGGGTTTAGGGTTTATGGAACGAGGTGCTCATGAATTGCGGCTCTGGCTGCACTCCTCAACTCCTGAGGTCCTGCCTTCACCGCCTGCTGCGCCGCCTGCTGTGCCGCCTGGGCTGCCTTTGAGGCGCGGAGATGCTTCTCCAGCGCCTGGAGCCACATGGGGGTTTCTGAAAATAGGGGACCCTAATATAGTACCCTAAATAATAGGATCCCTATTATAAGGACCCCAAAATAAGGTACCCTAATTTTCTGAAACTCCCACATGGCAAGAGATTGCCAAGAGCAACCGACAAAAACAACGAAAAGCTCCGCGAAGGCGCCAACACCCCGCATTCACAGTTCTGTACGGAGTAAGCGTGCCATTTCTTAAGGGCAAGAAAGGGCACCGAAGACCCTCAGAAAGCCCCGCTTCCTACAACGGCACGGGTCTTTCCCCCAGGTCCCGGCGCCTCCTGCGTCTCTTCGGGCAGCGCCTGACACGGCTTTCTTCCGAGGAAAGATCAGGGAGTGCATGGGCTTCAGAGTTGTTACGGGTTTAAGAGATTCAAGGGTGTAAGGTGCAGGGATAGGGGGCTTGCATGGATTTAGGATATATAGTTCTTGTGGGTGCAGAGATTCAGTGTTCATATAGGACGTTAGAGGTTCAAGTTTTTGGGTTGTCGAAGGCTGGCGCCGGCATTGCCCGAAACCCTCGGAAGGCCTCCACGATGGCGTGCCGCTGCTCCGGAGTGAGCTGAGGCGGAGGCTTTAGACTTTCCCCAAGCCCCAAAACCTCGTGGATCCTTGGGCCCTATGCTGGTCTTCAAAAGCTGCAGAGCCCACGGGATGTTCCGTTTCCAACTTCAACATCCCCATTCTTATTCAGGCCGTGAACTGCAGATCCCCATCATGCTTCCGCCATGGCTGCAGCCACGATGCATCTCGAAGGATCTGCACCACCGATGCCTTGAGGCAACATGCACATGTAGGCCCTAGGCCGGAGCCCCTCCACTTAGACTCTACTTCTATTGATAAGAGAAACAGGCAGTCCCGTCAGCTTCGCAGGTGCTCTGAAGGATCCAAAAACTCTTAGCATAATGAGTGACGGGAGGGCGGCTACGCGAGAATTGCCAATAAGACCAGCATCAGAGGACAAAGGGGCCAAAACATATAGACCTCCCTAATCAAAGGAGCCCTATAGCCTATAACTAAGTCTTCCGCACCCCCCCCCCCCCCNNCCCCCCCCCCCCCCCCCCCAAAGTATTCCAACAAAACACGCAGGTCTGGCACCAAATCCCAGCGCTTAACTAAGCAACTTTGACTCGAGAGACATCCGCGTGTATGACTTGAGGTATATCCCTTAAACAGTACAGCACTAGCAGCATTGAAACCCGTCGGCCCTCATTCCTGAATAGAAAGGGTTTTGAAGTCTCCGCATGATTCTGCCAAGGCCATTGCCATGTCCGGGGCCATTAGCACCTGCCAACAAAAGCTCGGATCTTGTTTAAGCATCGCATCGGGATTTATCCGCCCACACCCGTGCCGACGGTATGTACCTGGATGGACGGGATGATGCAGGCTCCATTTTGCTCCAGCCCGCACCACTAGTTGTCTCATGCTGTCTGACAAATAAAGCAGCAGAGCTCCATCACAACGTACCACACATTGCGTATGGAACCCTGCTGAGAACATGTTATCTTTCACAGGAACGGCGCCACGACAGAACGGTTCCGGCCAGAAGGCGGAAGTTGCAACCTGTTAGCAGCATCGCGCAAGAAGGTGCGCCCTCCACGGGTCTTATGTAGGGAGTACCATAGATAGATGACCGAAGAGGGGTGGCGGTGGCACAAAATTTTGGTTTCGTCGGGGTGAGTGGTCAAACCCCGCCGGCACCACAGCCTTGTGCGATCCTCTTACTTCCAGGCTCAAGGGTAGTTCTCTGTAGGCTTACCGGTCGGACGGAAGTTTAGATACCTTCCGAAAACCGAACAACCTTATAGGGTTTAGGGTTTAGGGTACGTCCCCTGGTGCAAAGTCCAGCCTGCGTGTGGATGGCTTCGAAGGATCTCACCGACTGGAGCGACGCAGGGGCTTCAAAGCCCCCATGGCGGCGAAGCCACTGCTACAGTGCCGCAGCTTCAAACAACGAACCTAGAACCTCAAGCCTAAGCCTTTGTATCAAATCTTAATTAAACCCCATAGACCCTTTCAACTCCAAACCCCATCTAGATGATCAGAATAAAATCGCCTCGATTTTGGCCCCGTGCTTCTTTTTTGGACAACATTTTGGCGCACCTTCTCTCTTTTGATTCCCCGGCCCTCTTCTTGGGATCCCTTTAGGGCTCCAAGGGCTCCTGGAGGAGCTCCTGGCGCTTGGGGCCCTCCGCCGTCTCCAGGAGCTGCCTTGGTGAAGAGCAGTAGATAGATGGATGTCAAGGCTTGTGGATTACTATAAGGGCCCAAACAATATTATTTTGGGGGTTCCTTATTATCATTATAGTATACTTGTTGTTTTCGGATGTACTTATGTCCATGTTATCGCCTGTCATGTCATACTATCGATCTTCTACTGCGATGACGTGCTAGGTCATGTTGCAATCTGTACCTCGCTGCTGTCTTTCCCGCATGCTTCCCGCGACTTCGCCCGAGGAAGTCGGAAGCTCCGGGCTTCCAGCGGGACGTTGCCGAGGAGTCGGCGTAACCGCGAGGAGCTCGCCTGAGCCAAAGCAGGCAACGAAAAAACCGTCGTCGCCGCCTGCTGACCCAGCTCCGCACCTCCTGCTTTAAGTGATGCATCAACTCCCTGCGAGTCGCCTGGCAAAGGTGCAGCAGACAGGCTTTCCGCGTTCTGGAAGCGTGCACTTCACAGCGTCCGGCTCTCGCTCCCGAAGGCCTCGGGCATCGCCGCCAGGGCGGTCCGTCGCTCCTCCGCATGCATCGCCTCAAAGCCCCGTGCAAATCGACCGAGGGGGCCTCCGAAAGTCCAGTTAGTCCAGTTTCCTCCATGGGTGCCCCTGGGAGCCAGGCCCTCAGTCGCTTCAGGATGCC